AAATTTTAGAACAAATTACAGCTCTTAAAAAGGAACATTTTACTATGAGGTGGTTGAACTAAATATCAAATTCTGAACACACAAGGATCAATTATATATATATATATGTATAATAGTGTATTATATATATTTTTGAGTTTTTCACAATCATTTCTATAGTGATGAGATGAAGCAATTTGACTCTAATATCAGCCTAATGGCTAGAATCAAAATATAATGATAGTAAGTATGCTGCTGAGAATGAAAGATATTTTGTTAAAATAAGAATAAATAAACCCAAAGCAAAAGTAAATTATTTTGAAAACTTTGCTATGATTTAGAAGTCTGGCATGATCCCATATACTTGTAAAGAGTGAAGTTACTACATGAAAGTATGATTAAACTGATTTTTATGCTTTCTGTACCAGCCTTTATAATAGTTGATTGTGTTTTATACAATAATTATGCGTTTGGGAACTGCTTTTCAGCAGAGCTCTTATTATTAACATCCTCATTTTAAGGAAAAAAGTGTTAAACCTAGAGCAGATAGTCATGTATTCTATATTTCTCCAATTACATTTACAAAGAAACTATACAGAATAGAAAAAATACAATTTAAACCAATCTGTCTTAAAAACCTGTAAAAAACATATTGTTGCTATTGTTGTTACATGCCATCGAGTCAGACCCAACTCATAGCGACCCCTCCTTGGGTTTCCCAGGCAGTATCACCACGGAAGTAGACTTCCCCATCTTCCTTCTGAGGAGTGGCTGGTGGGTTTGAACAGCCAGCCTTCTGGTTAGCAGTCAAGTGCTTTAGCCACTATGCTACCAGAGCTCCTAAAGCATTATTAGAATGCTAAAATAATATTTCAACATAAATAGAACCTATCTACTAAAATAGAATACTTTTGTAAATTAGAATATTGTGAGATTATCATAACTAGGACAATCATAATTATCACTGAAGTCCTTACTTGTCATATCTTGAGACTACCACACCAGCTATTTATAAAATAATAATAATAATAATGTATTTATTTTTCCTTTTCTTGAGGAAACATCATCCTAACAGATTCCAGAAAATTGAATGTGAAATAGGTCCAATTACTCATCCAAAACCACAATATTTTAAAAAATGAAACTGACAAACTGCTAAGTCTTTTCAATGCACTGAAAAGTGGGCATTGGAAAGGTATACTTAATGATACCTACCTTGGATTTACAAAACAATACTCTAATAAATAAATGAAATATATCTGGCGTTTCTCAGGTCTTAACGATGTTAAAGAAAGCAGCACACAATTAATGCCATTTGCAAAGGGCATGATCAGCTCTTATGATTAAGAAAATGGTCTGTTAAGCATAACAAATAGTTTTAATTACTCTGTGAAACTGAGCAATTTACTTATCTCTTTGGCTTCTTCATCTGCTAAATGAGTATATCAATTAGAATATCACAGATTTGTTGTTATAATTAAAAGAAATAATGCATGGCTGAATAATAAATTCTCAAAAATGGTAGCTATAATATGAAAGTTGGGGTTGTAACTACTCCCCCTTGAACTTCATTCTTCATTACTTACTTTAACTACTTATAACCCAACAAACAATCTAGGCTAGACTCAAAAGAAAGTATTGCCACTTAGTTGATTTATAATTTTAAAGAAAGTCACTGATGAATTAAAAAGGAAATACAAAAAGAGATCATCTCATAAGATCATCTTTATCAGTGACTATGACTTACATGTAAATGGGCTATTATGGTCTCAAGTACTCACCAAAGTATTTAGTTAATTTTACAGCTACATAGAAATAAGAATAAAGGCTTTAATAAACTTGAGAACATCTTCAATATATGCTTTAATATCATAAAGTAAAGAAACATAACATACTTAACAAACCAACATATTTACAGTATCATAAGTAAAGCAACATACTTTAAATCGCAACAGTATAGTTGTTGTTGATGTTACATGATGTTGAGTGGGCCCCAACTCATAGCGACCCCTCCTTGGATTTCCGAGGCGGTATCACTACGGAAGTCGATTGCCCAACCTTCCTTCCGAGGAGTGGCTGGTGGGTTTGAACC